GCTCTCGTGGCTACGCCAAAAAGATGCTAGAATTTGAAGCAGAACTTGAAAAGATGGATCGTCTTACTGAGGAAGGCGTTCAGGTTGAGACCGTCGATTGGGAGCCTACATCGGTAATATACTATATGGGGAGGAATGTATGTCACGCCGAGGATGGGAGCTTTAGCTCCACAAATCAACCCATGAGCGAACTCATCCAGAAGATCTCTCAGGTAACTGAGGAGGTGAGGCAAGGGACTCGCACTTCTTATAGGGCGAAAGACGTGCTCACCCAAGCACTCGGAACCAAGGAGCACCCTAGTCGCACTAGAGGAACCGGTCTTGTTCCTTGGAAACTAGCATTCCTCCAAGAATCTAACACTTACCGGAGCTGCTCGAGGGGTAGAGCGGATCAGGAGGCAGAGTATTTGAGGCAACTAAAAGAGATGAAAGACAGAATGGACGTACGGATTGACGCAACTGTTGAAGCATGAGTCCAGCAAAATTTGCTATCCAAGGGGTCAGGAGTACCATAAAACCCTACTCCTACTGCCTTTAGCCCATAGTTTAGGGGTCGCAGCAGCTGCGGATCGACCCTGCTCAACGAAGAAGATGCGAATGTGCCTCATCCGGTGGATGGCATCACTAAACCCGTCAATGTCAACTTGTACATCCGTCAGGAATGGACAAAGGACAAGGTGGCACTCGGCCAGGCCTGGCCTGCGGGAGACGGGACCATTAATGGCCGCCCAATTCCACAGGGGTATGCTCATGTCACCATTGACAGAATACTTGATAAGAAGTATAACAAGATACATACCCCACAACGAAAGACAGGCCGAAACTTGGTCATAACAAGGGCTCTCAAGTGGCCTAGCGCAAGCACTTCATTAAGCTTGACCACCAATTGTCCTCTGATGATGAGGACGACTGTGAGTCTTCGCCCACCCGCGATGATCACTCACCATCTCCCAACAGAGATCACTCCCCTCCTCTTCCCTTGCCATCACCCCCGAGAAGACAGAGTTCTCCTTCTATTCCTCCTCGTCCGACTCCATCTTTATCAGCCCCGAGAAAAGAGAAGACTCCTCCTCCTCCATCTTCATCAGCCCCGGGAAAACAGAATTCTCGTCGTCGTCGTCCTCCTCCTCCTCCACCACCTCAGCCCAAAACAAGGTCAAAGGCATCTTCACAGTCGCAGAAAAGGTCCTTGGATTCGATCACTAATACTCCTAAAGTGGACCAACAAAAAAGAAAAAGGCCGTTCAGTGGTAGTGTTACAAATTTGATGGAAGTAAAATTTACAGCACACATCTCGAAGGAAGATTGTGTTAGTTTCTTTAATCTATGTGCCTCACTACCTCCGTGTTTGTTGAAGTCCGAATTCAAAAGGCAAACACAGAATCAGTACGCTACAATAAGAGCCGATGAAATACATAATGAAGATTTAAGGAAGATACAGAAATACGTCGAAGACAACCCTGAATTAACCATGGAAGAGGCCGCGAACATCTATTATGATGTACAAGGGACGGGAACACCGGCAATGAAGTAAGAAAGGGGCAATCTTTTGGTTACCGATGACGAGTATAAAAATTTGACAACATATATGCGCCAGTTGCATGAATATTACATGGCTCAAGCAATAGAGACAGAGGACTTTGGTTTTGAGGTTATTATCCGTTTGCCACATATTTTTCATTATCCTGAAAAAGTGAAGTTCGATGTCGAGTGGGAGTGCTTGTTCCAGCTATACCAGAAATGCTCTCTCGATTCACAAATGTTGACGCTGTGGACTGTGTAAGTACCCTACACGCACGATATTATAATTAACTACTCTCTCGAGACACAAATTATTAACTTTTGATCAATTCCTATGGTTTTATGTAGGTGTATAGCAAAATTTTGCATACTAAAAAGAAAATGGGATAATATAGGCTTCTTGGACCCCTTGCGAGTCAATAAGAAGACATGTTTAGACCTCCATGGATGTGACGTGGAAGACTTGAAAGAGAGATTGATTGTTGTTTTCGATGAATTCAAGATGAAGAACAAAACCCACATACTTCTAGCCAACAACTGCGAGTATGTATTCTCGGCTTTTAATTTTATGCTTCTTTTTTCGTTAAGATGACTCGATAATTAGGATTCTATGATTGCAGCAACCATTTCGTCTTCATTTGTGTCAATCTTGCTAAAAATCTTATCGAGGTGTGGGACTCGAAGAAAAAACCATTTCATCATCTGGCTGCACTGGTGGCAGCGCTGAATTAGTAAGCGATCCTAATAACATATTATTTTCTAGTCACACATACCGCTTTCTAATATTTCTCCTTTTAATGTTGCACAGTGTCCGAAGAAGACATATCGGTGGGACGTAGGTCCCATTCAAGGTTGTCGAAATGGAGGGGAAGTATCTAAAACAGCCGGCGGGAAACAATGAATGCGGGTTTTATGTAATGTGGGCAATGCTTCGCTACATCGGCGGCAAATCGAAAGAAACATATAAGTTGGTGTGTATAATCCTCATTTTATTTATGTCTGTTAATAATTCAACAAAATAATTTACTGATTCCTCTTTGGATATCATCTTTTTTGAACGATAGCGCAAGAAATATAACCACGAAAGACTGTTAGACATGGAGATCGTCGCACTGCAATCGGAGCTGGCAAAATTCATCTTAGCCGAGGTATTGGAAAAAAATGGAGTATTTTCCATCGCACAATCCGTGAAGTTCAAGGACCAGTATGGCCCAGATGGCTCTCTAGATTATTGTAAGAAGTCCGAGAAGCATGCTTCATCTTATCGAATAATTTCTTTTTTATTTTGAGGGGAGTTCTTGATAAGAACATTTGAACTGTAACCGTAATATTTAATATCGATGGACCTGTCATCTACCGTATCGTATATAAAGCGAAACCCGATTTCACGAAAAAATATAAATTAAAATAAATTATAAAATAATAAAATACGAACGGGCCATCACTGCCGGTTAGCAACAAACCGGCAGTGTTCTCGTAACTTTCGCCAAGATAGCACTGCCGGCTTGAGCCACAAATCGGCAGTGCTCGTTATGACAACACTGCCGGTTAAAACACAAACCGACAGTATTTGGTGGAACTGAACTCTGCCAGTTCTTGTCACAAACCGGCAGTGCTCGTTATGACAATACTGCCGGTTAAAACACAAACCGACAATGTTTGATAGAACTGAACTATGCCAGGTGGTCTAATGAACCGGCAGTGTTGGTGGACCGGAACTCTGCCGGTTCTGTAAAGAACCGACAGTGAAGTTGAAGAACACACTGTCGGTTTATAGGAACCGACAGTGATAGCTGACCCTCATCACTGCCGGTATGGTTTTACCGGTTCAAAATCCGAAAGTGATGGGGTGTTTTGAACCGGCAGTGAAGTGTTATTCTGATGTAGTGCCCTTGAATAAACATATATCCAAACCGTCGGTAACCTAAGGCCTGTAGAAATCAGTGGATTTACAAAGCGGAAAGTGGAAAACCGACTATAAAAATCCTGTAAAAAAACACATAAATTGAAAAAAAGGTCTGCACCCTTGTCGACTCTAATGGCCAATAGCATGGTTGTGCGACACTTTTTTTTTTTTTTGCAAAATATGCCCGCGTGAGGTTACTAGGATTTAAATGCATGACCTTCCCCCTTGGGTGATCCCTTCTTGCTATCCAACCACAGAATTGTTGCTACCCATAATAGGTGGATCACATAAGGAACCTCTAATAATTGTTCCATTTCCTCTAAAAATGTGTCTTTTGTATCTTTTTTAGTTAACTTGAGTTTGGCGATTCATCCCTTTGTTCAACTCAATTAATTAAAAATATACAAAACGACAAAATGTTTGGAGGAAGTGGAACAATTTCTAAAGGCGGCTCACATAAGGAACTACATATGAAATGTCATTTCCACATGAGGTACCTATATGTGTACCATCTCTGGATTCTGGAATTCATTTCAGAGATGGTTTACATAAGGAGAACCTTCCAAAGCTACGAGTTGCTCGTAAATGCAAAGCCAGGTTGAGCGTCTGAAAAAAGTCGTTTATGTAGTAGTGAATGTCAACGAAGCAGCCTACAATTTCGTTGTGCTCTTATACAGATAAATGAATGACAAACTTTGGAACATTACTGTATAAATCTACTACATACATGCCACCGAATGTTAGGATGATATGTGGGATCTTGGGCTCTAGGCCTACATGTCAGCCTTACATCAATGGAATATTGTGGAACCATGGGGTTATTCGGTGGGATATTATATAATCTTCCAAACTTTAAAAAAAAAAATAAGACCAAGCTAGGAGGAACAAGAAGGGTTTTATTATTATAAGAAATAAATAGGCACCAAAATTTGAGTTGAATAGGACTCGAACCTATATAGTTGGGATGCATGACCACACATCCTCACACCGACTAGTTGCTAGGCTCACTTCATATAAATTTATTTCAGAATAAAGTAAATATTTAGTTTGTGTGGATCACCTTGCTTTATTTGTCATGAGAGATGTTGTCAACTAATTTGTTCCATGTAGTCAGCATGCTATGAAGAGTTCATTTAAGAAATAACATATATAGCCAGTGAATGCCCTTGAAAAAAAATGATGACGCACAACTAGCAGCAGTACGTTCAACGAATAATATGCTGTTTGTTCCCACAAAGATGAGAAATTGCAATAGTTCTCACCGTATATGCAACCGAAAGGAACAATATGGTTCCTTCGAAAATCAAGAATGAAAATGTACAACGGAGACTAAGGAAGATGTATACAGCAGTCCTTGAATTATTCCACGCAAGCACAGCTGCAAGCATAAAATTGCAATTAATTAGTATCCAGTGCAAATAGTGTAATATAAAACTGACAATCAAGTATAGCAGAAGGATTCAAACATGCAACGAATAGACTAAATAATACTTAAATCATACAGGTAGTATGGTACTATGGCCTACTAGTATTGAGGGCAGGATACAGGACAAAGACAAAATACCAAAAGGGATTATGGTGGTGAAGGCAGTGAGGAGGAGGAGAGAGGCTTCCGACCATATTCATCGGCTAGCTGGCCTATGAAAGGAAATCCTATAATTCTGAAAATCCCTGCTACCTGCACTTGAGCAAAAGAGATGATCAGACAAGTATTCATTGCCTTAAGGAAATGCCCCCACTTAGGGGCACATATCTTATTTTGTGATTAATGGAAACATAGTAAGTTGTATGAACATATTTTTGCTAAGAATAATGTGAAAGGTTAGGTTTCATGGATGCATCAAGAGTAAAGCCACCGAAACCAGCATGACAAATCAAGTGAGTAAAGCCTCCAACATCTGAGTTTGTAGCCTTCCAATTTGAGATGTGCAGTTCAGATTCGCCTAACAAACTTTGTAAGTCCGATTGGGTTGACCGAACGGGCCAGAGACCTACGGGCTACGGTGACCATGTCCACAAAAATGGTGCTGGCCCCAGAGCCCGATGCCCAGAAACAGAGGTCCACATCTCAAAAGAAGAAGAACAAGAAGGAAGAAACAGAAACAGAGATCATCCCCTACCTTGCACACCAATCGTAGCACAGAAGTGGCAATAAGAAACCATCCTGGAATTTAGAAATCTACCGCAGCTGACTAGATACATGAGATTGGAAACATACCGAGGACTCCAAGCCGGTGAGGTAGATGGCCTCCGGGCATGATCTGCTGTCGTCGGCGGTGCAGAGCACAGCGGTGACCTTGTCGACGAGCGCCGGCACGGTCATCGCCCCGGCGACCAAGTAGAGCACCAACCCCACGATCAGGTGCAACACCGGCGGCCTCATCGCCACCTCGCCGCCTCCAAAAGCTCTCATCTCCTTCCACTCCGGCCGGCCGCCCGGGCCCGGCCTCTTCTTGGCAGGATGTCTGTTGCCGGTTGGTTTCAACTTGCAAGCCGGTAGGCAACAGCAGGGTGTGAGAGCACTTCGTATCAGGCACCATCATATCAGCTTCACTTAAAAAAGTTTTCTAAAAGGAGAGAAATGATAAGGTGAAGTGAGCTGTGAAAATGATAGGCCAGAAATATCAGATCAAAGGATAGTAGAATACGTATCCCATATTGTAGCTTTTTTTTTTTTTTTTGCGCTCAATCAATATCACATCTCTTTACGGATACTTATTCTGACCTTTTGCTCGTTTATTTGGGCCCTCTTGTCATGGTTCTTTTCAGTCCTACTGTGTTCTCCTGTTGCAGTCATGATCGCTCGTAGCTTTCAGACTGTGGAAATTACTGAAAAGAAAACTTGTGCGGGTAGCTAATATGACAACAGGGGCAGCAACAGCAGGTTTGCAAGGGAACAAGTTGCCTAATAATACAAAAGAGATCTAAGCATAGTCCCAACCAAGAAACTATCATGGTTTCTATGGCTATTAATTAGAGTGCCAACCAGAGGTGAAGCCTGCTCAAAATAGACCCCGGTGCACACTCTATATATAGAATATAAAGGAACGTATACAATTTTAAAGGAAAAATACTTGGAAAATTTGAGGAATATATTAGCAAACTTTTGCTTTACCATGGTGCACCCGAGGAAGCCAATGTAGCTTCGCCCCTAGTGCCAACTAAACAAAATGATGATGTATATTGTTTCATTAGATTTAATAAGAAAGAGAGGAGGAAATAATTTCTTATACAAGAAACTATATGTCTACATGAAAACCAAGATAGAATAAGATGTGATAAGTGGATGATAGGAGAAAGATCAGATCAAACAATAGTTCTCCTTTCCAACTTTAATTGTTGTTCTCTCTTCATCTTAATGGTGAATTGAGGTGTTCTAGGTGCACTAACCTCAGTAGTGTCTCTCCCAGTCAAGCATTTGTGAGTTTCAATGTTTGTCTACTAACAGGAGATAGTCTGTTTTTCTCGATTTGCGGTAGCGATTGATACATGTTCGAGTGCTTAGTTTTGACCAACATTTATGTCAATATGTTTTTTGGCAACTCCGCTAGGTACGAAGAAATATTCATGGCCAATGGCCAATGGCGATGATGTTACCTATGTTAACCCTAATAATGTGGTCCATCCCATGCTCGGACAATGTAACTTCCCGAGGAGATCTTTCAATAACTGGTGGAGCGGAGGTAGGCAACAAATTAGCCTTGACAACCTCTATTTTCTTAGATTGTTAATTAAGAGTCGTAATATTTTTCATTCAAGGATTACCTCATAAATATCTTCTCCATCATCACTTGAAGATGAAGGGTTGCCACTTATATCGCTTACAATATTACCTTTTGCCATGAAGCATTTTTGTGATGACATTGTGAAAAGTCTTGGGTCCAATGGTGGTGAAGTCTTTGTTTGATTCATCGATTGAGCTTGAACTTGTGTCTTCACCACTCATCTACTCTTGAAATACATGGGAATAAGCATGTTGGTTCTTCCTTCCTTCTTCTTCTTGTCCTTAATCTTGTTCTTGATGTTGTGCACATGTATGCTGCAGCCTGCAATTGTGTACCACCCACTTGTACAAGATCTTCACATGCGTGTCCATCTTCGTTGAGTGGTTGCCGATTGCTCTTCGGCACTCTTCATCACACTTGAGAAGCTTGATGCATCACCACCACTTTTATCCCCTTCTTCTTCTTCTTCTTCTTCACTTGAATGCTTATAGATCAAGAGTACATACTAGGGGGGGGTGAATATGCGGTTTTAACTAAAATCACAAACGCTATGCAAAATTTATTAGTAACACAAGAGAGCCCCAAATTCTATTTTTGCTAAGTTAGGTGAAGGTTTACAATCTAGGGTGACATGTAATAATTTAATGTCTAGGAATGTAAAGTACTCAAAGTAAAATACAAGAATGTAAATTGAGCTCATAGCACAAGAGATAACCGATCGCGAGACAAGACTTTTATCCCATGGTATCAATGCTTGCTGGTCTATTTCACATTGAGGTGGATTCAATGTTCAACTGCTCCTCTACCAAGACACCGATTTTTCTTGAGCTGATTGGAACCAAAGAACCGCTCTAGGGAGGTGAGCACAAAACCTCTCGCAACCAACTCTAGGACACCTTCACAATGTTTTTTGAAGTGCTCCACGGATCCATGATCTCTAAGATGTCTAGGAGGCGACATCTTCCAAGAGTAACAAATTGATGTCACTTGCGTGAAGACTTGCTAGTGCCACAAAGCTCAAACTTTTTTTTTTTTTTGCGCAACAGCTCAAACTTTTTTTATAACTACAAAGCTCAAACTTTGATGCTATCCCACGTGAAGTGTATGAGAGAGATTGAGGTGGAAGAAGGTTAAAGTACGTGCATGTCAAAAAAAACTTTCCAAATGGCCAAAAAGATCTTCCTCATGACCCTAATTTCGAGGCCTATGTAAAGTAATACTCCCTCTGATTTTAAATATACAATGTTTAGACAGAGAGCATGAATTTGACCATGCATGGTCATCTGCATGCGTCCAACAAGTCATCGGTGCAACGACTGGTAGTTCGCTTTGCCGATACCAAGCTCGTCAGTCCAACCTTGCCACGGACAGTGGCAACTCTGCTTCGTCAACTGTATTCACAATCCTGAGCTAACCATGCATTAAGCCAACGAGAGAATTCCTCATGTGCCCTGAATGTTATCAAAATACTTTGCAGACCACTAGAAAAGTTTCTGCGACATATATACCATCACTATAATTTTTCAGTTCTTTCTAAGCCACCAGAATTATTCAAAGTCCATGAAATATCTGTTAAGGGTAAAAGGATCATTGTCCCTTCATTCACGATCATGTCAAAGTAGTTTTTCAGTTCGGTATTTGCCACTACGCCAAAAGATATGGCATTACTAATCAGCAACGCACCTCAAACAGGTGGGTCCTACGTGGAAGAAATGTTTTATTCCGTACCTTTTCTTCCTACTCTACGTGGGGCCTGCCTATACTAAACCGATCGACGGATGATGGTGGAGAGAGGCAATGGTGCTGACGGCAGTGGCATAAAGAGAACTATAAAACTGAAGGGACGATACAAATGTCACAAAAAAAATTTCTAGTAACCTGTAGAGTATTTTTGTACATTCTAAATCAATAGTGGTGCTTGCAGTCCTTCCTCATTACACTCGTCTGAACTTGGAACTTCTGTGCATTTGTCCCTGTCTTTTGGATTCAGCATCCAAGCAAAGCATAAAGATGTTGCCTGAAAAAAAATTGTAGCATCACAATACATCTCTTAGTTCACATTCTATTTCTAAATGTATCCTTCATTGCTACATGTCTACCATATCAAGATAACGAAAGAGACTAACCAAGACAAAACTAGCCACTAGGAAACTGAAACCTTTGCAATTGAAAGGGGCTTCCTCTGAAATGAAGTAAGCTGAAACAGAGGTGCAGGATAGAATGACATCAAAATAAGAGGAATCAGTGTACAGGGTCAGGGTCCACGTGCATTATGGGAAATTGCCTAATTGGTACAAGATAAAGGGTTCCCTCACAGGTTAGTGGGTTCATAAACAGAGGTGCCAGCAATATAGCTACAGATTGTACAGTCGCAATGAAACTTTGTGCCTTCCCCTATGGAAGTAAATAAATAAATTGATGACACATAAGATTAGACAAAGGTTTTAGGATTGATTTGCAGATAGAACCAAGACCGGTGGTGTCTGTATGTGTATACCTGGTCAGTTGAGATTACTTCCCTCGAAACGATTGCATGGATCTGTATATGTCTCAGCATGATAGTAAGAGCATAATTAATCACATATCACATAGAGTTTGTTTCTGAGGAAAAAACAGTTAGTGGCTAACTGCCTCCCTTATATAATAATTATGAACTGTGAAATTTGATGTTACAGTTATTAAAGGATAGATATATAGGATTGACTTACAGCTGGTCTGGCCATCACAAAGATGACACCCAATAAAGAGCTAAAGTAAGGAACCTGCAATATAGGTACAAGGAAAATGCAGGAGACTGTCATAGTTGTACCTACTAAACCCTGATTTGTGTGCATAGTTTTGCTTAGAATTGCACTTGCTTGAAGCAAGTATGTGCTTAAATACATACCCACCAAGCCCATGCAACACCATAAAGCAAAGCCTGAAAAAATAGATTCCTTACATCAATATACCAAAATTTGTATTTTTTTTTTTGCTGAGATAGTGAAAATATATATAAATGTCTCGGTGCAATAACTCACATAGGCAATGGATGCCAAGATTGAGACGCATATGATTCCTTTTTCACCAATAATGTGGCTCATTAGGGGAAGGACCAAAATCTATAATTTTAGTAACATTGTCACAAAACATAATAATAATCAACCTAACAAAAACACTGGAAATATATGGATCTTAATTAAAATGGTTTAGGACTTTTAATGTAGCACCTGAGAAAAGATGGAACCAATGTCTACCACCATCAGAATTTCTGAAAATTGATTCTTGTCAAAGCCAAATACAGACTTCAAGTAATACTGCCAAAAGTGAGGTGATATAAATGATAAACAATCTTTAGATTTGTCTATAATTCAAGCCACACAATTTCAAACATCATATCATATAGTACAAGTTATAGAAGTTATTACCAATCGGACATCAATAATGCCACTCATGCCCAATTTATTGAAGAAGTCAACATATACTATTCGCCTAAGTGATTCACTACAAAGAAAACAACACAAGAAAATTCATGAAGAATTATATTAGCTATTGTAGCTAACTTCAAAACTTGCTAGTCAGGGGGCATCAAAGTTTCCATACATGGGAAGTAGGATTCTATTAACTCTCTTTAATCAATGAGGCAATTATAGTATTTATTCCTTTAGTCCCTTCAACAATGAAGGAAAAGGTTTCAGTTAAATCTTGACAAGAAACCTTCATGATATATCTTTGTACTCATATTAAATTTATGCATGCTTAATTTATTGGGAAAGACTGCATAAGCAAAATACCCTTGCAAGTTTTAACTAGTGACATTATGACAATCCTATTTATGTTGTCGGAAATGCAAATGCGAATGTGTCATTCCGATTTCTTCACAACCAATAGGAAGGATAATTAAATGCTTTAGAGTTTACATGAATTCTCAAAAATCTCTTAGTCGATTAACTTCTATATACAGAAGATTACCTATCTTTGAATAGAGTAATGTTCGCTTTGATAGATTCCCAACGCTGTTGTGCAACCCTGGTAACCAAAGATGACAATGATGAATGACGATAAGATGAAGATGCTAGAGCTCTTGGATGTGTCTCCACAAGATATATTTTCATATAGAGAACCGAACAGATCAACAAAACAACGGACACCTGTGAAACCGTGTTTACAACTTATATATTACTAAATAATCAACAATGCTGATGCAATCACACATATTATTTCAACTAATAATGATACCTCAAAAATCCAATTCTTGGGTAGAAACCTTGAGAAAACATCTCCCAAAGCACTTGAGGCAGAAATAATTCCTGTTATGAAGCCAATTGCAGTTGCTCGCTTTGACGGCTCAACCACATCCGCCTATGATATCAGTGTTGTGTTCTAATGTTGGTAAATGATAGCTCCGAGGATCTTATTTATGACTTCGATTAATAAAACTAACTAAATAAATAACATTAAAATAAACTATTGAACCATAGGGTAATTCAAGTATTGCCTAGTCACCCACACTATGTACAACAATGAGCATTCAAAAAAATTTGTTGGTGTTGTAGAAAATCATGTACATGCATGTAGCAAATACATGAGTGAACCGAGCGATAGCATGGTTGGTAAAGCCTCCAATTGAGAGGTCTGGTTAACATGGGCTTGAAGCCAGGTGCTTGCATGTCATTTAATAATCCTCTTCTCGCTCTTCACCTTTCTACTTAGTTTTGTGGGACATATTGAGTTGATTCACCACCACCTCATTCTTCACAAGTTAACAATTAGAACCATTTTGCCAAATTTAGTTCGTTGGACTCATGGTGCACCCACCACCTTATCTAGAATGGTGTGACTCCTCACCAAACAGCTCCTAAGTAAATATCTTAAGGGTTCGATATAATACTCTCTTAGATCTAGGTAGGGGCGTCTGTCGCCATAACCAAATGGCTTTTAATACTAGTTTAACCAGTGACACACACCACATTTTGCTACAAAGATGAGAAAAAATGATGTAATTCTAACCGTGTATGCAACTGAAATGATGAACAATGTTCCTTGGCCAATCAAGAATGAAAGGGTGCGCAGAATAAGGTAGACATACACAACAGTCCTTGAATTATTACATGCAAGCACAGCTGCATGCATAAACAAAAAAATTAGTATTTAGTGCAAATGGTGTAATAAGTATGCATAGACAAAAACAGTACCATGCATGTTTAGAGTGAATGGTATGGCCTACACACTGAAGGAGAGACACATAAAGAGCAAAAAACAAGACAGTGCAAATTACCAAAAGGTATTATGGAGGTGGAGGCAGTTAAGAGGAGAAGAGGCTTCCGACCATATTCGTCAGCTAGCTGGCCCATTAGAGGGAATCCTATTATCTTAAAAATCGCCCCTACCTGTACTCATCAAACAAACAATAAACAGCATGTGTTACTTCTCTCACACAAAAAAAATTATTATCCTTAAATAAAAAGATCGACTGATATAATAGACGTCTTTATCCTTATTGTCTAGAAATTATACATGAGATTTGTTATTCACATAAAGAGAAAAAATAGGCATTCCTTTCATCCCAAAGTATAATGGATTTTCTAGAGGTGGACCGGCTCAGAAACTATTTGCAGAGGCGGATAGAGCCACCGTACCAAAAAAAAAAAGAGTCACCGCTAAAAAATGTTTCTATAATAGTGTTCAAAACTCATGGTTCACGTGTCACACATAGTTGCAAGTACCATTCATGTGAGGTGAAAATTGGGAGGAGCTGTTACATGGTTGTTGAAGGTTGCGTAGTGTGTGGTTTTAGACTTAAGGAGACAATTATGTGTTAGTTGGGGTTGGAAAACCATCAGCCTGTTCGCTTGATCGTTTCTGTGGCTTATAAGCCGGCTGATGTTGTTTTGTTGTGAGATAAGAACACTGTATCCCAAAGTATCATGCTTTTACCCTGAATTTTTTACTTTATTTCCAATATAATAATGCCATAATAGAAACATAATCCTGAAACACCGATGGTAGAGTTTCACCAAATCACTCATAGCATGTACTGTAAACAAAATTGCACTATTTATGTTGTGTCGTTTCACTAACCTGGATTCCGGCCGGTACCGCGGTACACGTTATATTACACAGTAGGTAGGATGTGTAAGGTGCAATCGGATCATTTGTTTTTTTTAGGCTCGATGAGGGATTCCAGCGCGGATGGCACCATGGCACCGTCGACTTGTGGGCCACCTAGTATAGCACCAACTAGCGGAGCATCACAGTGGTCCTGTGCGAGTGGGAGCATGGTAGGTGACTCTTGAAAAGATCCTCCTCACTCCCCTGCGTGGCTGCGTCGTCTCAGGCTCTCCTCCGCCTTGTGTGAGCGAGCGAGAGGAAAGAGAAGACTATAGAAGAAGATGAAACAAAATATCTCTTTCTCACTCACTCATCTCATCTACGGCTTGCAACTGCAGCCTGAAGCTGGCGACCATCACACGGCCACGGGCCACGACCGGAGTGCAAAGAAGAAACGCAGAAAGCTGGATAGGTCATAGATAGATACCGAGGACTGAAGGCCGGTTAGGTAGATGGCCTCCGGGCACGACCCGCTGCCGGCGGGGCAGAGCGCGGCGGTGATCTTGTCGACGAGCGCCGGCACGGCCATCTCCTCCGCCGCTTCGTACAGCACCATCCCCACCAAGAGGTGCAGCAGCGGCCTCATCACAACGCTCACCCCTTCTCCGAGAATTCCCATCTTCTTCGTCTGCGCTCCTCTTTGGTTGTTGGCTCCTCTCTCTGCTCTGCTCTCAACTGAAGTAGTGTAAGCTCATTTCAGGCCGTTTCGGTGATTTGCTAACTGCAAAACTTTTGTCTTTATATCAACACAAGCAAGTGGGCAGCAGGGAGCAGGCGTAGGGCCTGTGAAAATGATGGGCTACGGGTAATGCGCCCTCAGCCTGACCCGCATGAATGATTAGTTCTTTTTTTTTCTTTCAGAAAAAATACCTAATCAAGACTCCGAATATAAAATACTCCTAGGGCGGCAGAGCATCCGTAGCGTACCCACGGCGTGGTCAAGGGCATCGCCATGCAGCGGCGTGTTCCATGTTGCATTGCATCAGGTGTCCTCTAGCCTAGGTGATATTTGAAACGTCACCCACACGGCCACACCCCTTATATGGGGAAAAAAAGAAACAAAAAAAAAAAGTCACCCACTTATATGGGCTTCATTTTCACATATGGTCTTCATCATCAAACAAGGCTTGGGGTCATTATGGGCTTTATATGGGCTTCCTTTTCACATATCTGACCCAACAATGGGTGGACAAGGCAAAGATTATGTTTTATAATTGCATAGGTGGGTAATTAGATGTAAATTTAGGTGATGTTGTTTCTCATAAAGGAAGCGTGTCGAAATATGAGTACTCTTTAAACTCTTATATATGGGTGTCCATAAACATTGTGGAAGTGGTATTTATTCCAGTCCAAATTAATCAATGGTTACCAAATTAGTTCTTGCGCTATCTTCATTTATTTTCTATCTCAATACACATACAGATACTGCAAGGGCAGAGCTATATCTCAAAACATTCAAGATGGGCATTGCAGTTTGAGGAGAGATATAGGATGGTAACCTCCAAATAATGCTATATTTGAGCATAGTAATTATTGTTTGCTGCAAAGAAATCTTAAAGACTAGGAGGTCATAGCACTTATTTCTTCACTGCTTAAGATATTGGATTTATTGTTATACAATTATATGCATAACAGTATTCATTTTTTAAAATAGTAGAAGACTACTATCAATAAATATATATCATATTGTTTTAGTTAAAATATATTTATTTATCAAAAGCAACAAGTGGATATAGTATTAATATTTTTTTACTTTAATTGATATATGAATCATTAAGAGAACATTTATCATGATCATTGAAACATAAAATATGTATTCATCAACCATGCATGCATGTACACTTGATCTTAACGGGCGCAACATGTATTTGTACTTTAAAAAGTTTTTATATATTAACAATAATATAATTAGGTAATTTAGAAACATATATAGGTTAATTTATGGTTTTTAAACTTTTTTCATAATAGCATACCTTAGCAATTTAATTATAGATACCGGGCGATCTTTTAATTTGTTTTAGTAACGATAGAAGTGGAATTTTAGGTGTAAATTTAAGGGTTATGTTAGGGGGAGGTACCCCGGCACCGCTCCTCCCCTAACCCTCGACCTGGCGTTGGCTCAACTAACCCGCCCTCGTCCTGGGCACCACCCCCGCGACGAGGGTGCCCTTGATCGGCTTTTTTCATCTGTGTGTTCAAGGGGCATGATCAAAGGTCAGCTGCGCCGGAGGAGCGTGGCGAGAAGGTCGCAAGACGGTGACAGTGAACAAACCCTCACTGGGGGCGCGCGAAGGTCGTTACCTACCGCGGGAAGGAACCATCCCGTCAGCAATTGGACCCGAGAGTGGTTGGCTGAGGAAAGGAGATTACCGCCGTACCCCTGGCTCTTGTATAGCGTTTACTGGCTAGGGTCTAACCCTAATGTAATTCCACCGTGTCTCCGGGTATGGCCTATAAATGCCCGGATCGCTCGTGTAAGAAACAGGTTGAACTTTTCTAGACAAATTAATGGACATTTAATCCGCAATTTTCCATCTCCTCGGTTTCCTATACCCTTGCTTATCCCTTCGCATCAGTCTAGTCATTCACCTATGGGAAACCCTCGGCCTCTCCCCCCATGTCCTTCAGCGAGGGCGAGAGGCTAGGAGTGACCCCCACAGTTGGCGCCGTCTGTGGGGACCCCAGTCCGCCACTCCTCGAAAACAATGGCAACAACAAGAAGAAACACTGTTGACATTTCTTAGCGTCGCTACTAACAACAGAGTTTTCAATCTAGTCCATAGCAACAGCGCTAGAAATGCTTGTTGGTATTTAGTAGCGTGTCACTTGCTTTTAAATAGCCACCTATTATAAACCTATATCTCCTAATTTTACTAGGTTGTCATCCCCAGTGATGATATCAGAGATACTTGTTGGTACTACATAGCATTACTACTAGAATAATACTAAGCAGTTCTTTATTAATTATGTGACTAGGAAGAATAGATATGAATATATATATTTATATGCAAGGAATTTGTAAGCGCACAAATAATATACCATTGTAGCATTTTACCCGAGAGTATTCTAGGTATCGTTATTTATATTTTTACCACAGAGAAGGTCTAACATGGACATGTATCGATAACTTATACTATTGAAGGAGAAGTAAACCATAACCAATATTCTACTCATAACAGGGGTAAGTCATAGGATATATATATATATAATATATATATATATATATATGATAAGTATTGATCAATGATAACAAATCACTCGGAGTACTCCTTTCTATGGCATTAGCATGGTCAGGTAGAATATTAGAGGAATAATTCCTAAGTCACTCTTAATTACAAGTCAAAGCATACATTGATTAGTGCAATTATACCTAGTAATCATTGCTAAGATCATCATTATATCTACACATAAGGGATATTACTAAGGAAGATTAAAAACAGAGCTTACTCTTCCCTCGTAACCGAACCCTATGTGCGCCTATGTTCGGGGAGTCGACTACAAAGCACTCAACGAGAGTGTCACATCCGCGATCTATCACATGACCCAGAATATAGGGTGTATACACAGGTAAACAACATATAAGCACCACGCTTACACAATGTCGACCACCCACCCATGGATACTTAGAGTGAGCACTATACGAACTTATGCATGAACATAATGATAATACAACTATACTAAGCATATAATCAAAGTAGACCATGAACATTATAACAAAGAACATGAATAAGATGAATACTAATATTGTCATAACAATTGTAACTAGCATATAAAAGTAAGGGTTTTTTTGATCCACGCCATCACAATTTTGCAAGTTTGGATATACTCCCTCCATATCGTAATTAGAAGTCATTCTGTAGTTGGAATGGAGTTGACGAAAAGATGTCGTTCTGCCGCATGAACGCAGCTTTGGACGCTGCTGCCCCTCGCGCTTGGCCTCCCGCGCCGCACGAGTTATTAGCGCCGTGCTCGACGCATGCGCGATTGGCCTCCCATCCGCGCGAGTTATTAGCGCCGCTACTCCCATCTGCTCGACGCATGCCCTCCCATCCGCTCGACTCACGCCCTCCCATCCGCTCGATGCACGCCGCACGCCCTCTCCGCACGCCGCTGTCTGGTAGCCCTAGCCGCCGCCGCACGCCGCTAGCCTCTCACCCTTGCTGCAGTAGAAGATGAAGCCCGCGCCGGACTCCATGGACGCATCCTCGGCGGACTCCACGATGGAAGACAGCATCGAGCAAGAGATGGAGATGGTGACGGACTCCATCACGTCGGAATCGCTGGAGGCAGAGAAGGTCGTCTTGCCGGCGTCGCTAGAGCTCGCGCCGGACTCCATGGAGATGGTGCCAGATTCCTTGCCACCGGGCGCGTTTGTATGCGGTCGCTGTCATCTCGTGCATAAGGACCGCGAAGCATGGAACCATGCGCACTCGCGGTTCTATCCATGCCCTCGCTGTGGTCTCGTCCACGCGGACTACCTAATTGACGCCATGCTCGGCCGCAGCAAGTTGGACTGCGAGCTTTTCATGCAGCGTTACAAGGACTTGCTGCCGACAAAGGACGACGCCAAAGCATCGGTAAGAAGCATGTTCATAATGCTATCAGGCACGGCATGTTCATAATACTACCAGGGACGGCATGTTCTAGATAAATAATGCTAAACTGTTACAAGAATGCCTCTACTACTAATTATAGCATCAATCTAATTTTTTCATGCAGCAAGAGTAGCCTCGGCTTCATGTAGCAATGATGGATCACAAGGGATACAAGATGGCAGCCGATCTTCTCTTTTTAATGTTTCTTTTTTCATGTGAGGTATCTTGAACTTGTTGCAACCTTTCACTTTCATAGCTTCCATCAAGACACCTTGTAGTGTTAGAAACATTCGGTTTGCAAGGCGTGGCGAGTACTCCAAAAATGCCTACAAAACAATTGTGTAAGAAATGAATGAATGAGCAAATTTGTTGTTCAAAAAAACATTGAAACATGTGTTGATCAAATTACCTCTTGCACAGTTGGAACTAGAGCCTCTATTGTTTTTGCATTCTTCTTATATTGAATTGCTTGTATAGCTCGAAAAAACCCAAGTCAAGAATGTTGAAATCCGGAGAGTTTGGTGGTTGATAAATTAGGCGAATATCGAATCCTCCAAGCTTAGCGGCCTCACAAAAATCCGGATCATCCAATTTCAAATGAGAGGGTGCATTATCCTGTTGGATGAAGATCGGTTTACCCACATCATCTCTTGCCCATTTGGCTCTAATGATCGGCAACACTTGGTTGATCATGAAATCTCTAATCACGTCTCTTGTGATTGATGTAATGGGCTTCATAACCAAGTCTCCACGGACACGGCCAGCATGTTCTGTTAAAAGAAAACAAACATTAGTTCCGGCAGCATTTTGTCCACAATGTTCTCCACAGCATGTTCTATTTATAGCAAAAAAAACAAGCACAATCATGCAACTTACAGACGGCATGTTCTAGCTATAGGGTAAAAACAAGCACGTTTATTGTTATACTTGGCCACGGCAAGTTGTAATTATAGAGAAAAAAAACAAGCACATTCATGCAATAGTTACTACTTGGACATGGCATGTTCTAGCTATAAGAAAAAAA